GAAAGAGTGAAATGTATGTCCCCAAAATTCTGCCTAAAATAAGATGAAAAACCGCCCCTAAAAATGACTTTTTTATGGTTTAAGGGAAAGCTTAGGGTTTAATGTGACCGTGTATTGCCCAATATGAAAAGAACAGCTGATTAAGAAGCCAATGTGTAGGAGATGAGATTCCACAACAGGAAAAAATATATAGCACAGGAGCATCATAAACTGAATAAAAAAATTAAAATTTCAAATTTCTACAGCAAAAACACAGCCCTGTAAATGATCAGAACACCAAATTACAGCAAAAATAGAAGAATGGGATAATCACCTTGGAGCAATACTCCACCATTCTTTATTGTCAAAACTGCATCAGAAGATGGCGAAGCTCCGGAAATCGAATCCCCCCAAAACCATATTTCTGTTTTGGGACTCAAACTGAAGAGGAATCTTTTCCTTCCTTGTACCTTGACGAAGCCATTATTTTTCAACTCCAGAGCTCAAAAGCCAGGAATGAGATCGGCCCTTACTCTCATCAAAAACTCATCTTTGATCTTCCTCTTCTCTCTACCGGCGCCATTTTTACAGAAACGCGGCTCCTTTAACGACCGTGACGAACTAAACCTTTGGCTCAACGAATCAAGCAAGGAGTCGCCGATGAAAAGGAAATGCTATTAATTTTGCGCGATGGATGCAGTCTTCTTTATTGTACAGTTTATTAAAGCCTGATTTGATTCGGCTTTAACTACTTTTGAATAATTTCTGCTAAAAGAATTCATTTAAAATTCGTAGAGGGGAGTTGTTTCGATCCAAAATATTGAAGATCAAGGAGTTGGTAGGGCTTGCTTAAAAAATTGTGTGCCGAGATCTCCTTGACTTCTGATTATCTACCGGCATGAGAGCGGCAGCATGACACTTCTTCTATACATGATTTTGACTTCTGAGGATTTTAATTAAATAAACTAATTTTGATTAATAATTTCTATATTGATTGGATTTGGCGTTTGTGGGCTCCGAAACTTTCAACCATTCCGGAATCTCTGTTTTCGTTTGTGTTTTTGCTGAGAGAATTTTAAGCGTTAAAATTTTGGGAAGGCAGATAAGATTGTACACGAGACACGGTAAGCCAATCAAAACACTCCTATTCCTAATGTATGTCAATGGGCCCTAATTTAATTTAAAAGAAAATTTTTTCTGATTAGACACGGGATGCAATTTGCATATGGTTTCCGGATTCAATAAGCGCTCCCTTTTGTTAGGACTTCTTTGATCAAGGTTTCCATATTTGTTATAAGCACAAGTCTTGTACTCAATTATCCCTCCTGATAATAATATAAAACTTGCTATTTATTTAACATTAAATAATCAGCTTATAGTACCAACAGATGTACATTTTAAATTGTAAAATTTATCATTTTAAGTTTAAAGCGGATTGTGGGATAAATGATAACGAACTTGATCAAGATCTTATTATTCTATCATCCCATATCATCGTGGTCTCTGTCTACTCAGCCAGAGGAGATAGTCAATCATACCTGACTAAAGGATATTTTTTTAGCAAATGTGTGTTCCATTGTTTAAGAGACTCTTTGTTAGGTATGACTCATATACCAAATAAGAGATGGATGTTGTAGTGGAGCGAAGCGAGCTAGCAGAGTGGAGAGTTTCGTTATGTGGGTTGGGTGCTGAGGCAGTGTTCCTACGGTACAGTACATGGGTAATTTTGTAATTACATATTGTACGTCAATGTTATATATATGATATATTGTAATTATAAATGAGATATTGTAGTTCTTTTTTTGAATTGGAAAAAAAAATCGCAACTCTGCTCCCGAAGATGTAGACATATTTGACAAACCTCGTTAAATCTTTGTATTTTCTTCTAGATTTATGTCGATTATTATTTTTCTTTGCCCTAAAATTCTCAACACTCATATAGATTGGCGTGAATATTTGTCTAGAAAGAAAATTTAAATCAGTCTTAGCTAACATAAGGTTTTGTGTCAATCAAATACACACTTATTGTTAACAACTCCAATGACTAAAAGTCGTTGTGGAATGAGTTGTTGTTATTGTCGTAATATAATAATGTCATTCAGTAACAACCACCAAGTTAAAGTACTCTGGTTATATTTATTATTTTGTGGAGTTGTAGGTCAAACCAAGCGGACAAAAGACTTAGACCATCTTTTTACTGGTATAAAATTATTTTGAGAGTTAATATAATGGTACACTGGACTTGACATTATATATATACGACATATATATATAATATATATATTTTGTCACTCTTGAAAAAACAGTTACGGAAGGTGAAGTCTTAAAGTGATCAATTTTAAGTCGAGTGTTGATTTAAAAAAATAGTTTTGCATATTAGTTTGAAACTAACCCATCCATTTGAGATTTCCAGTCAATACGGTCATCATAAAGGATTTCAACATTTAAAGCTTTAATAATTTAAGGTGTTTGAGTTTGTTAGTTTAAGCCTTTTATGCTATAAGTCGTGTCAACTCCAGTCATATTAAAGAGAAGTATCATATTAGGTGATCTGGACTTGCACATTCTTATTTCATAATTTAGACATTTATTTCAAAATTAATAAACTCGTCAACTTCAGACTTTATGATGAGGGTAATCAAATTAGTTGAATAGAACTTATAACTCTGTCGTATAGACAATGCGTCTCGCTTGATTTTTTTCAAATTCTAAAGTGTATGACTACTAGTTTGACATTACCCCGTGCAACATTCCTAAACTATTCCTTATATATATATATATAATCTTTATATTATAAATCTGATATGGAATTTAGATAAAGAGATTTTGGAACTATGTATAAGATTTTTATCTATATGAATATTCTAAGGCATACACAATTCAAGAGAGTGCAGACTGGTACTCATACAAGTTTTAAAATATCTTCACATATTACAAATCATTGCATTTGACTACAAGGATAACCATAAAGTTTATATTAATTTTGAAATTTATCAGAACTTGAAATATTTACAAAAGTATTATGAGTTTTGAGCTTTTAAGGGAACCACCTTCTGTCTACTTATAAATTAGAATTGCAGATCCTGCAGCAAATTTTTAAATTTCAAAATTTCCAAAGTTGATTTATTTTTTGAACCGCATGAGACTAATTTAAAACAAAAAACTCAATTTTTAAAAAAAACATTTTTAAGCCCTTGAAACCAAAGTTTTAAAAGTCAATGCCAAGCTATCCAGCTATATATAAGACGCGTTGATAAGTGTCGTAAACCACTACGATACAGGAGCAAAATAAAACATTTACATACGGTTTATAAGACAATGTGAGCCATCAGTGTGCCTACAAAAGGTCAAAGCATTAGAATAATTTTATTTTAATAGATTTTTACTTTCCCTAATCGTACTTAATTCTCTGAATAAGTACATGAGTTTCTCAAGAATAGTACTTAAATCTTATGATTTTTTTAAAAAAATTTAGAATGCGACCACAACTTTCCTGAATGGCACTCAATTTATAACTTTTTTGTGCGAAGCTGCAACATTGACGACAATGAAATGAATGGATCGATGATTGATGATTGATAACTTTTCAGCACAATATAATTATAATATCATGGATTTACATCTATCATTCACACGTAATATATAAGTTTAATTGATCTAATTAAGAACTGAAGATGATAAGCTCAAGTCTCAGCAGTCAAATTTTCTGAAAAGTTGAACTTTTGAACTGAATTTGATTGCAAACTATAGTTATAATTTTAATAAAATAATATTACACGGCTCAATCAAATTTTGCAAAAGATCAAGTAAAGCTTTTATTTTTAGTTCAAAAATGAATGACATGATTTCGGTTTTTTATCTCTATTTACAATATGATAGCAACCTTTTTATTTTCACATTGCTATAAACTTCCTCCAAATTTTTACATATCCTTTATTAGATAAAAGGAATTCTGATGTATTAAAATCAAAAGTGTATTTCTCTCTCAGGATCATCAGAAACAACATGCAGCAAGAGTTAAGACGTCTATTACATTCATCGACGCATCAAAGAACACTTTGATCACTCGTCTAACGACCCTCAAGCCTTGTCACGGACATGTCATTAGTAGAAAAGCTCCATGACAATTTCATGTCGCTCGAGCCACCTCCATCCCAAAATCCAGGATTCTTCGGCTGCGGCAACATCGTATTCGAGCTCAACAGCATCATAAGCACCATCGACATCGATGGTCTGTCATCTGCTCTTTCTTGAGCGCATAAAAGTCCCAACTGAATGCACCTCAATACTTCGGGCTCCGAAGATAAATCACCTAATGAATCATCAAAGAGTTGATCTGCTGCCTTCCCCTCTTTCCATAGATTCCATGCCTAAAATCAAAAACAACTTTTTAAGTAACATATTCATAAATATCAGACCTTAATAATCAATGGCATTGTAACTATCATAACATTGACACTTACATGAGCAAGAAGGTTTATACGTTGGTCAGAAATATGAATTCCTTTGTTCTTCTTTCCACTCACGATTTCTAGAACCAATACACCGAAGCTAAAGACATCGGATTTCGTCGAGAAGATGCCATCCATCGCATATTCCGGCGACATGTATCCACTACAAGCCAAAAAACATATTAGCATTGAAATTTGTTTGATGATATAACAATGGGGATGCAAATTGCATATGAAGCTTACTATGTTCCAACCACTCTATTGGTATAGGTGCTATTCTCCTCCCCCCCAAATATTCTCGCCAATCCGAAATCTGAAATTTTAGGGTTCATCTCTTGATCAAGCAAAATGTTGCTAGCCTTCAGATCCCTATGAATGATTCGAAATCTCGAGTCCTGGTGAAGATAGACGAGCCCGCGAGCAATACCGACGATGATTTTGAACCGCATCGGCCAACTCAAGAGATAGGATTTAGTTTTATCTACGCAACATTGAAATGAGAAATTAACCGCTTGAGAATTTGATAATTTATGATGGATCGTTTGTGAAGCAAGAAATACAAACCAAATATTATGGTGTCCAGGCTCTTATTTTGCAAGTACTCATAGACGAGCATCTTCTCCTCTCCTTGAATGCAACAACCAAGTAGTCTGACAAGATTGATGTGTTGAAGTTTAACAATCAACATAACTTCATTTTTGAACTCCGTAGTTCCTTGTAATGAACCCTTTGACAGTCTCTTCACAGCTATTTCCTGACCATCTTCAAGCTTTCCCTGGTTAATCAACAAAACTTAAATTGTCTTAGAAGCATTTACAAATATACCAACCCAATTCCTATGTATTACATTTATACCGCCCAAATTCCTCACATCAGATGAAAAATGCCATCATTTTAACTCTTGGAAAGTAAAATGTCACATTTGCAAGCGCAGGTAAAGTGCAGTGCATGAATGTAGAAATTGAAGTTTAGGTGTTAGATTTGTGCATACATATGAATAGAATGGCATATATGTAAATCTTCAAATTTTTTATATTAAATTAAGGATAAAAACGTAATATAGCTCATAAACAATTAACACTATGATTACCTTATAAACTATGCCAAATCCACCCTCTCCAATCTTATTAGCAGTTGAAAAATTCCCAGTGGAAATTAGTATAGTTTCAAAATTAAATAATGGGAGATCTGTATTTTTCCTCCTGCTATCTTCATTATCTGACAGATGTTCAGTGATTACAGCATCGAAAGAAAGCTGCCTTGGCTTATTTCTCCAATAACCTGCTTTATATCAAAAAGATAAATGAAAAAAAATTAAATTTTAATGGCATTTACATACTTACCACCCAATTCTTATGTATTAACATATCAACCACCCCAAACTTCAATTTTTACGAACAGACCACCAAATTCCTATGTTTCCAGAAGAATTGGGTGGTTGATATGTTAATACATAGGAATTGAGTGGTGCATATGTAAATCCCCCTAAATTTTACGCTCAAGAGAATAAAAATTTTACATACCTGTAATGTTCATCATCCTCTTCTTTTTCCAGAAGCAAAATCCAGTAAATCCCAATAGAAACATCATAGAGACAACTACAACAACAATTATAATTACATGCTTCTTCTTTAAGTCTCCTCCTGTAAAATATTCATTTCTTTAGCTCCATCTGAATGGATCACATGATCTGCTTGTCCATAAGTTTATTTGTGATGAAAATTATCAGAAAAATTTTGATTTAACATGAATATGGGATTCCCTTCTTTTTTTTTTTTTGAAAGAAGTAGGAAAGAAGTAGAGCAATGTTGAATAGTATCATAATAATTTGTTGTACATCGAAAATATGCCAGTGTTGATCATAAAAAGATCTAATGATTCAGAGGAGATGAATATGATGAATGAGATCCCACATAGAAGATCACGAGACCCACTTATTCCATCGAATGCAGCAGTCTGAACCAAAGCTCACCGAGTCACGATAGATGACCGAATGTCCGAATCCAAGCTGTGCGGCTAAAAACGAACAATAATGATGTAATCATCATAATTTATAAAACCGAGACTTTTTAAGTGGATGAGGGTGTTGTGCTTAGTCTCATATTGTATATTAAAAAATATATTAGTGTGGGTCTAGTAGTTGATGCTTATCAGAATAAGCTAAAGCTTCTTTCTTTCTCTATGTCTCTCTCTCTAGAAAAAAAATATTAAGTGCATATAATCCGTATGTGTGGATGGGAGTACTCCTGGTATACTCGGTGTGTAGACCACGTACGGACAATTACAACTAATATTCTCCTCTCGACATATATAGCTTTACACAATACACACATACAATACCGTGTGTGTATACACTATGTTAGTGAAAGAAGGTGAAATTTACGTACATATTACCAAAATTCCATGTATTTACATATCTATCGCCTAAACTTTATATTTTATTTGCATGCCACCCAAATCATTCATACCGCATAAAAAATATCACCATTTTAACTTCTTAAGAAGTAAAATACAAATTCTCTTAGAACATGTAAGGTTGTATATATGTAACAATTGAAGTTTAAGTGTTAGATATATAAATAGATAAGACTTTGGGGGTATATCGGTAAACCTTTCAACAGAAAAATTGTGGTTGGCCCAAATTTGATCCTCTGTTCTAATAGATACTTCTCCATTGAAACAAACTTTGAAATGTTCTTCCTAGGATGCTACAAAAAGTTGGCCAACTATATTCAACAGAAACACAAACTTGGTAATAGTGCAATTTCATATTTATTCTTCTAATCCATACATATAGTCAATAAAATCGGCTAAAATAATGCTTTCTTAGTTAGCTATAAACTCTTCTAGAAATACAAAAAAATCAACGTCCATCTTATATTTAACAATTAACTTGCTTCTAAGCTGAGTTAACTACCTAATGCGTCAGAGAAGAAGAAAAAAGAAACTTTGAAGGGGAACTACCTGACTGAAAAACATGAAAATTTATCAAAAAATGATGATCACATAAGCAATAAGCTGATGCATTCATGCTTCAATATCTTAAATCTGCAACTATTTCATCCAAATTAACAAAAACTTACTCAGTTCAGAAGCTGCTAATCTTATATAAAAATCTTGGCCTCCATCAGCAAACTGCTTCAGATCCATCAGCTCACTTCCCCAAGTAATGCAACCGCTCCCTCCAGCACTGATATTAGCGCTCGCATAAGCCAAACAAGAACAATTCTTCAAGCAACTTAGCCTACACTGATCCAAACTAACACTCTCAACAACTACAGCCGTTGTTGTATCCGGAAGCTTTATTCCACTCATTTTCAAAAAGCCGTCTCCTTTTTCACAATCCAGGTTTGTAACACGAACACATCCATCAGATCCATCTCTCAAGTTCCAGTTCTGCAGGTTTTTTGGCTTAAATCCATGAACGCAGCTGCAGACTGGCGAATAGTTTGGGTTGCAGAAACCATATGGGCCACAGTCAGCGTAGGAATCACATTGATCCCTCGGAACAGACCAGTAGAGAGACCAAGAAGACAACGAATCATGCCAGAGGTATCTTTGGATATTGGATTGGTTCAAGACCAATCTGAAAGTGATGGAGCTGTCAATCACTTTGTACGCGTAGTATATCTCATCGCCATTAGAGATGAAATCAAAGCTCACGTAGCTGTTTGCGGTCATTTCTGGCTCACCGCTGAATTGAAAACCAGTCCATGGACCGTTCCTGTAAACTGGCTGGGTTCCATGCCTTAGAAAAAACTCCGGTGCTCCCCTGACATCAAGGCTGAAAGTGTAGTCGCCATTAGAAGGATCATCGGAGCTCTTCCAAGTTGTGAGTTTGGACTCGAGCCCTGTCTTTAAGTTCCAACCTAATTTCATTCCCGGAAGAAGAGTGTCGCAAGGACTGTAAAAACTTTCCCAGATGAAGCTTTCTGAGACAGTACTGCCATTGTTTCTTAGAACAAAGTTGCCATTATCCAACAGTTGTGCGATTGTATTGCTTGAATTTGACGAGGCGGCCGTAGTTGACCAGATGGCTTTCTGTGATCCATCAAACAAGATTAGATTTCCGGTTTCTCCGATCTGTAGACTGCCAGAAGAATCTGAAAGCGGAGCGCCTCTGTTCGCAACCCACACAACAGTTTGAACAGGGATTTTCTTGTACCAGATGCCTAAAAATCTCATTTTTGAACTGCCGGGGTGGAAGAAGCCGAGCTCGAAAATTCCACCTGCTGATATGAGGGTTTGGCCATCTTTGATGGAGGAATTTGGAGTGATGATGTCTTCTGCAGATGAATTGTGGAGGAGATTGGAGAGAAAGAGAAGCAAAAGTGAGAAAGACCTCATCTTTCTCTTTATTTTTATGTTAAGATTGCTGGAGGGAAGATTTTATAGAATGGATTAGTCTTAGATGAAGAATTCACAAACACCTCGCTGTGAAAAGGAATCCACCCATGTTTTGAACAGAACTCCCACGTTTTGAAAACCGGTAGGTTTGTTATTTTATAAAAAGTTGTGTTTTTTTAAGGGAGCCGCCCAGCAAAAACTTATTTTTATTGATCATTTTGTATTCGTTCTCTTGCTTCTCGGTTTCCCTCAGCGCCATCGAAATTCCTTCGGGAATTCTGCTGAAAGGTACCTCAGACAGTCAGATGTTGTCAGCCCAGAATTCTGGGGTAGAAAAAGATCAGGTGTTTAAAGTGTTTCTGCCAATATAGTTCGGCGATGTGACTATTAAAGGAGTTTTACCTTTCAACGAAACCTAATCTTAGGTACGGGAAGTGCTTGTTTTTGGGTTTAATTAGGCTCAAATTTTACAAAAAAAATTATTTAAAAGTAGATAATTTACGGGCATACCACCTAAATCCTAATTCGTATGTATTTACATATCTAAAATCTAAACTTTACTTTTTTACATTTATACCAACTAAATCTTTTTGTATCAAGTAAAAGTTACCTTTTTTTACCTTTTAAAATGTTATTGTTAAACCTAAGGCTGTCTCTGTCTAGTTGACAGTACATAAGTAATAGAGCACGGAACTGAGAGAAGAAGAATGTAGAAGCGAGAGAGAGGGAGAGAGAGATAAGAGGAGGATGACTTGCTCCCCATGGGGGTGAATCGGGGCATGTCCCAAGCTCGTGGACCCATTTTATTCCATCAACATTGAGCTTACAAGTGAGGGGAGCCAAAAGTCTTTTTATATGAAAGGGTCCTCCTATTTATAGAAGATAGAATAGCCAAAAAATAAATTACAATATTACTCTTACTTTAAAATGAGGTAGTACAAAATATTTTTTTTCTTTTGTATTAATGTGTTATGTCGTGTTCCTAACCTTCGTATAAGTCCTCCGTCAAGGGGAAAATGTTTTTCGTCTGAGTTCTCGTTCTAAAGGAAAAATTCCTTTATGTGAGTCCATTATCGAGGGAAAAAAGTTCTTCGCCTGAGTCTTCCGTCGAGGAAGAAGACCTCTGCTAGAGAAAAAATAGAATGAGAGTAGCCAGTTCAATAGGAGCAAGCTGCAGATTGCCTTGAGATCCGTTTATATCATTTTTTAGCATATAATTAAATACACTAATTCTTGAATGGATAAGACGACATTTATGTAGAGATTTAAGCATAAGTGTTAGATACTTAAATACATAGAAATTTCTCCAAAAAAAATAAATTAAATAACAAAAATATATATACATACCATTCAATTTTTATGCATTTATATATATAGCACTTAAACCTCAATTTTTACGTGCAGACCAAATGAGTATTCACGTTTTAAAAGTTAAAAGGGTGTTATTTTTAAATTATGTGATATGAAAGTTTCACATACTATAAATGTAAACTGTAAAGTTTAGGTCTTAGATTTATAAATATATAGGAATTAGGTAGATTTATAAATATATAGGAATTAGGGGGCATGCATGCAAATGCCCGAGTCATAAAACAGGTCCCTTTCCATACCATGCGTGTATAAATCAAAGGTTTACATAAATATCCCTAAGTTTTGTGGGTGAAAAACAATTTTAAAGCATATGAATTCTATAAATAGACAAGTTTGACCGAAAAAATTACAATTGGGACCTTCTGCAGTCTGTATAGCGATATTGTGAAAAGGAAAGGATGGGAAAAAAGATACATTTGTCATGCTAATCCTGTATGAATTTTCCCGGTCATAATTAATTTATTCTAGAATCTAAGCTAAAGTGCAATTTTTAATAATAATTATATTATTATTGAAATAATACACATTGTATTTGTAGTTATAAAACCTTAGCGTTATCTATGATTGAATAATATCGTGTTATGGCTCTATGAAAATTTGTTTATCCTTCAGTTGTTGCACTGTTAGCTGAATTATAATGATCAAGCAACAACAATTTGAATATCATAAATTCGCTACGATAGTTGTATTATCGTGGTAGAAACACAAGAATCAACAAAACAGGTAAGAACAAACACACGGATTTAACGAGGTTCAACAATATGCTTAATTCCCGGGAGCAATGAGCAACGCGACTTTTTCATTTCTTCAAAACAATACATCCCCTTAAATTTATAAATACAACATATACACATATAACCCTATTATATAATATGTAATTATAAAATTACTTGTACCATACCGCGGGGTTGTTGCCCCAGCACCTCCAACCCAGTTAATAAAACTCTCCCGATTGGATAGGTGCTTCCGCTATGCTACGCTTGTGAGCTCCACTCCACCGGCTCGCTCACTTTGTTCTACTGGCCCGCTCCTCTCCAGCATCTGTCTCTTATCTGATATATGAGCCATACCTAACAGTTATGTTTCTCTTGCTTCTCCTCTCCCTCTCTCCATATGATCAACATCAAGATTCATGCTTGATTAAGTAGATTTTATGATGACATATCAAGTGTTATTATTATTATTATTATTATTTAATTAAACACTATCTTCACATACTATGTTAGGGAAAGCACATGCACCACCAACATGAAATTGAAATACATGTAAAGCACATTAGAATATAGAAATATATGCAAAGCATGTAACAACATAGAAATAACCTTGAGGGAAATCTATAAATATATAAATTAAAATTTAGGGGTAGTTTGCATAAATACGTAAGAATAGAGTGAAATATATGTAAATCTTCCAAAAGGCTACAACGTGACTTTATTATTTCCCGCCAGTGCGAACAGAGAGGAAATGGGGGCGAGAGAGAGAGAGATGGAGAAGGGTTTGGTCTCGATCGATCGATGGGGAGACGGGAGCCAAGCCTACTTCCTCACTCACCTCCACACCGACCATACCAGTGGCCTCTCCTCCAAGTGGTCCAGAGGAACCCTCTTCTGCTCTGCAACCTCCGCCGAGCTTCTCTCTACCAAGTTTCCGGACTTCGATCTTTCGCTGATTAGGGTTCTTGAGGTCGGTGTCACTCAACTCGTGCTTCTCCGCTCACCGTCATCCGGATCGGAGGTCCGCCTCCTTGTAACTCCTATTGATGCGCACCATTGCCCTGGTACTTTCTTTCTGCAGCATTCTTCTTGGATTAGGATTTAATGTTCTGTTTGGCTTGAGGAGTTGAAGAGATGAAATGAAATAAATGGGAATGGTAATAATATAGGACTTGGATTGAATTATGTTTAATATCCCTCACTCAGATTGGCGAGCTTTTTTATAAATTTCTCAGCAATGGACCGGGGAAAGCCATTTATTCTTTTGGAAAATTTAACAGTGCACCATTATAGTTGGGATAACCGCCGTATACTATTAATTCCTAACTTTGTATTACCCCAGCTAGTTGGTTTTAACAAAGTTTGCATAATCAGCCTAATTATTGAGGTACATGAAACAATGGAAACGAAACAGGAACAGAGGGAAAAATCTCCCTCTAATTTATTATCATACACTTAAAATTTAACATTACATTATATTGTATCCTCCTATTTATAGATAGAGAGAAGAGGCACCGGTGATTCAACAGGCTAACAAGGGTTAATGTATTAATACTCCCTGTCAAGATGATTGTAAATGTTTTGACAAATATCTCGCGCGTCAGTGAAGATAGGTTGGCAAGTGGAAGACACATGGTAAAGATATCGACGAGCTGTTGTTTAGTCTAGATAGAGATTAGGTTGAAGTGCCTAGTCTCAGCTTTGTTGCGAACGAAGTGGCGATCAATCTCTCTGTTTTGTTGAAAACTAGGATTGATGAATATACTTGATTTTCATAGAAAATGAGAGATGAAGTGGACGTTTGAATCCCAAAGTTTTGCAACAATTTTCACAATCGTGTTATCTCGATAACTATTCTTTGTATTCAACCTAGGAAGATGCAGAACACATGACGATCGATCATCATGTATCTTGGCACGATCCCCATTTTGCATTGGGGAAAGCCTTCAATTGATGAGAGGAGTTGGCCGAGAAAAAGAAGCCTGTTTAAAATGTAGGTTTGAGATATCGAAGAGTCAATGGATAGACATTAAGTATGGAGTGCAAATTTGAGTCACGAATTAAGTTAGTATGTGCACGGTAAAAGTAATGTAAGGTCTAGATAAAATCAGGTAAATAAGACGGCCTATCAATCATCAAAATGCGATGGTTATCTACTAGAAATTTCCCATCTTCAACTCTGAGATGAGTGGTTGGATCCATGGTTCCATTGGTTGGTTTGCTTTCGATATATCTTGTATCTTTCAAAATTTTGAGGGTGCAATGATGCTAGCTGAGTACCATACATGTACTTGATCAGACAAATTCGAGACCTAAGAAATTTTTTAAGGTTACCTAGACCTCTGAGCTTGAATTGGTTATGTAAAAAACTTTGAGTGAATTAATAGAATGTGTTGTAGGACCTGTAATAATTGTATTATTCACATAAATTAAATGGATATTGAAGTTAAAGTAATTTTCTTTGGTAAATAAAGAACAGTATAAGCTTGTTTATGTAAAATTGTAGTGAAATAATGCCTGTGATAGTTTGGAGTCCTTTATTTGGGGAAGCTTGCCTGAAGCCATATATTGATTTACAAATTTTACATACAAGCTTGTGATTCTTATTAACCATCTCCCCCTTTAACTTATAAACCGGTGGCAAATTTGTATTAGAACTCTTCAAGCAAATCACCATGTTAGAAATTGTTGTTAATGTCTACTTGGTTAAGTCTCCAATTATTGCTTGTTGCTATAGTAAGAAGCATTTTGACAATGATTGTGTGTTATATTTGTTAATGAAGCTGTTGGGGTTGTATTTGATTCTATATGTCCATTCACAATCGGTGGCCATTGGACAATGAACCAAGTTGAATTAAACCGCGGCTTGGTTTTAGAATTGAGGCTTAGAGCAAAATTTTTGTATATATAAGATATAGAATCGTGTGAAACATAGTGCGAAATGGGTATTTAATATGGATAGGGTTGTAATCATTCAAATTCGAGCAGTGTATGTCGTGAATTGGTCTTGGCATGGTCATATTATAGTTTATTCATATTTGACTCTCAAGCCAAGCTTTCACATACATATTCATACTTGGCTTGTTTAAAGTTTTTAATAATTGTATTTGGTTCACACTTGGCTTGTTCACATTAATTTAATAATTATTTTAATGAGTCAATAAAGAAGTTAAAAGTTGAACAAGTACCTAACTTTTCATATAAAATTATTAACAAATGATTGTATGAATCTAAACAAACAAGCAATTGAATAAATTTTTAAGTAGTATGTAACTACTGTGCACTAATTAAATAAGATAATATATAAATTATAAGTGTGTTTTTTCGCAATTAAATAACATAAATAAATACAAATAAATTGGTTCATTAAAATAAAAAAAAGAAGGAATTGTATTAATTTTATATGAATATTTACCAATGAAAATAACTTATTTAAAGAACAAGAAAACTAAAAAAATATGAATATTATCTCGATAAGAAGCATTCCATTTGAAACAAACAAGTCAAAACTTTGAAAGGGAAAAGAATGATTGAGATTGTTGGGTGTTGAGAAACCCGTGATTCTTATATTGATTTTGAAGGAAAGGAGTCAGCCTCTTTAGTTTGAATATTTGTCTTATACTAAATTACATCTTATAAAGAGATTTTGGGTGTGTTTATTTCGGTTGTAGTTGTAAGAAATATCAGTTAAAAAGTTGCTTTGAAAAATTTGATGTTTGAAAGATGATTTTTTAGAAACAGTTATTCTGTTTGAAAAATTCAGTTTTAAAAATGCAGTATGTGAATAAATTTTCGAAATACCTCTCTGCTTCTATTTCACTTTGTGATGTTAGAAATTTAAGTGGTATGCTTGTAAATATGTATGTTTGGGTGTTAGATATGTAAATTCAGAGAATAAAATCAAAATATTTAGTATTTTTCAATTAGATTTTTTTAAAAGTTTTCTTCACCCATTTTAATTTTATATTTTAGATTTGTTCTACTAAAAATATTAAATACTAATTCATCATTAAAAATTTGGCTATTTGTACGCATGTGCATATTTTCAAGCTAAAAAAATGAGAACTTGAGTGATGGGCATAATAATTTCTAAAAGCTCTTCTTAAACTTTAATTATTTATCAGTACACTTTGAAAAGCTGACTGTGGTTAATAATTTCATTCCACTATCAGCTTTTTTTTCTAAGCAGCGACACCTACACATTTTTTTTTCCAATCAATCGGCGAAAGCAGGAGGTGGAGGCCGGTCCGATGCGAGATGGATTTCGGCCCTGGTTTTAAAATGCAGGATGTGGCACTCGTTAACCAAACATCACGGGAGGGGACGCAGTTTACAACTCCGATTGAAAAGCTGTCCCAAACGCAGGCTTCATCTCATGACTTATGGAGAAATAGATTTATCAAAGTGCGTCTCTAAGTGAAGCCAGGGAGATGGGAATAATAGAAAAGCCTCATCTATCTAGTATTTTGTTGAATTATTTTATTGACGGGACACATGTTTTCTGCTCTAGGATCAAGAATCCATATTAGCAACCTCGCTTTGCTGGATCTCTTTTTGATTTCTTTTCAATGACAATAGATCAACCAACCCCATGATTTTTCCTTTATATAAATTTTTACATAAAAATTCAATGTTGATCAGTATAACTTTATATCTATCCATTTGTGTATATGAGCGATTTTCATGAAAATTAAGACAAAAAACTGCCAATCTCCATTATTGTCAATTTCATAGCATGCAAAAAGTATTAATATGAAAAAAAACATTTTTTTTTTACTCTAAAAGAACAGCCTGAATGTTTCAAGTAAACAAACCTATGTTCGCTTATCTAAAAAAATATTTAAATTTCTTTTCTATCTTCAATTAGGGAAATATGTTATTTTGTTCAAATTTCTCACAAAAAAGAACACAATGTAGAGGATATATTTTCTTTACATATAAATTCTTAATTCATAAAAGCTTTAACACCAAAACTTGATTTTTACATTAATACCACTCATATCTTTCATATCACATAAAAAAAATCATTGATTTAACTTTTAACAAGTGAAATATATATTTTCATACGTAGTTAAGGTGTCTATATATATATATATATTTGGTAAAGATATTGAAACTTGAGTGGTATGTGTGTAAATCTTCCATTTTATTTTTTTAATTTTAATATTTGCTATTTACCGCATATTTCTTTCTTGTTAAAGGTGTCAATATATATATATATAGATTTTGGTTTTGGTGTTCGATTGGTAAAGATATTGAAACTTGAGTGGTATGTGTGTAAATCTTCCATTTTATTTTTTGAATTTTAATATTTGCTTTTTACCGCATATTACTTTCTTGTTAATTCTTATTCGCCTCTCTAATTCATGAGGTTGGGCAGGTGCTGTAATGTACTTGTTTCGAGGTGAATTTGGATGTGTGCTGCACACCGGAGATTTTCGGTGGGAGATTATGAATGAAAGGGCAGTGATGGCTAAGAAAACGTTTATGGATGCGCTCGAAGGGAGTAAAATTGATATTCTTTATTTGGATAACACTTATTGCCATCCTTCATTTTCATTCCCCACAAGGGAGGTGGCTTCCCAGCAGGTTCGCTTCTTGAATCTTGATAGAGGTGTTGTATTACATTACTCCTTCTCCACTTAATCTTAATGTTAAGGCTTTGCTGCAAGGGGGTGTCAAAAACCGACCCGATACATTAACTCTATCCAAATTCGACTAAGAAAAATTGAATTTGGGTTGATCCGAATAATTTCGAGTTGGGATTGGGTTCCAGATAGGAAAACTAACCCATTTACTTTTTTTGGATTGGGTGTATGTTGACCTGCCAACCTAAAAATGACCCGAAAAATGACCTGTTAATTTGAAAATCGACCCTCCAACTCAAAAATTGACTAGAAATTAATTCAAAACGTGACTCAAATAGTTTTTATATATTGAACAGGTTATATAGACCAGGTTAGGGTTAGCGGGTTGAAGGCGGTTTGATTTCACGTTTGACTTCTTAATCCGTTTAATATTTGGGTCGGGTTTAGATTAAGCATTTTCGGATTGGGTTAATTTTGGGTCAAACTTTGACGTTTTTGATTCACTGGTTATTCGTCATCACAATTTATTGAATTTGAATGCGAGGATTCATTCCACAAATGTAATTAGTGTTATTAAAATAGGGCTTAAAGGATTTATGCCATGATTTCGATAAATTTTATGCTCTTTGTCTTCTACCTAACACAACCTCCATTTTTAACATCCATGACTTAGGACTAGCAATGACAGTGTTACTTGACATGTACAGGAGGATTTACCTAGATGTATGCTTTCTGCTGATGATATCCTTCTTGTGGATAAGATTAGAGAAAGAGTTTAGGAAAAAAACTTGAATTATGGAGGTTCACGTTGAAGTTTAAAGGCTTTCGTTTGAGTAGATCTAAAACTAAATACATGAAATGTAATTTTAGTAGTAGTAGCTCTAGTGGCCAAGTTGTAACTATGGGTAATCAAATCATTAAAAGGTGTCAACATTTTAGATATCTCAGGTCTATTGTTCAAAGTAATGATGATATAGATGAGGATGCTATTAGTAGAATACAAGTTGGTTGGTTGAAGTGAAGGATTACATTGGGCATATTGTGTGATAGAAAAGTACTGCTTAGACTGAAAAGAAAATTTTATACAATGATGGTAAGACATGCAATGGTCTATGGCACAAAATATTGGCCTCTAAAAGAGAAGCATAAAATGAAGTTTAGTGTTGCTGAGATGGGAACACTTAGGTGGATGAGTGGATGGACACTTAGAGACAAAATGTGAAATCAATATATTCGTGAGAGGGTTGGTGTAGCTCTAGTGGCGGACAAGATTAGAGAGAGTCATATTTGATGGTTTGGTCACGTTAAACGTCAACCATATGATGATCTTATTAGGAGAGTAGATGTTTTTTATTCGACTTATGTTAAAAAAACAGAGGTAAACCTAAAAAGACTTGGGCATATTATATAAAAATGATCTTAATCTATTAGAATGATCTTAATCTATATTAGAATTAAATGAAAATATGACACTCAATAAGAAAATGAAGAAAAATAATTCATATAGCCGACTCCAGTTACTGGGATAAAGTCTCGTTGTTTTTGTAATGTTATTACATGAGGGCATTGCTTGGTCAATAGCAATTGTCTGCCTAGTTTGTTTTACAACTAGTGAAGTTTTTAGCAGAGTTTTTCTTTATAGTTTTGTTTGTCAACCGATGGCCAATAGGCATACATTTGCCATATGGTCAATAGGTGATCAAAACAAGGTCCAATAATAAAATATATTTTAGGGGAATTCTCATACATACCACCCAATTCTTATGTATTTACATATTTTAAACCCAAACGTTAATGTTTACATTCACAGTACTCAAATCTTTAGTATCACATCAAAAATATCATTATTACCTACTTTTAAAAACTATATAGATCTTTCATGCATAGATTTACCACACTTGTAAACCTAAATTGGAAAGTTAACATTTTAGATATGTAAATATGAAAGAAGTGTAATGTATGTATGTAAATTTCCCTAATTTTTTTTCTGTTGTTAATCTGGTTTCAGGTAATTGATATTATCAATTCAAATCCAGATCATGAAGTAATTATTGGAATTGATACACTTGGAAAAGAAGACCTATTGCTTCATATTTCACAAGCTCTTGGCATGAAGGTTCATTCAGTTCCATTTTCTGTTATATATTTGAACATTCACATACATGCCACTTAATTCCTATGTATTTGCATATTTAACACCTAAACTCCAATTTTTATATGCCACCTTTCCAATGCATGAAAATATGTATATCACTTTTTGAAAGTTGAAAGAGTGGTTATTCTTTTTTTTTATTTGATATGAAAGATTTGGGTGGTGGTGTAAATGTAAAAAGTAAAGTTAGTTGTCAGATATGTAAATACATAGGAAGTATGTAAGTTGGGGGCATTTACACCGACAATAACAGAACGTACCCATCAATTGAGTGGACTTACAAACAATTTTGGTGCCTTCACATGCATACCACCCAATCCATTGCATTTACATATCTAACACCTAAACTTTTCTATTTGCATGTATACCATCTAAATCTTCATATCAAATCAAAAACACCACTTTCTTAACTTTTAAAAAGCGGCATACACTTTTTCCATGGATAAGAAAGGGGGTGTATATGTAAAAGTTGAAGTTTTGGTGTTAGATATACAAATACGGAATTGAATCTTATGTATGTAAATAATATCCTTGAATTAACTTTTCCATCACCAAACTAAACTCCCATCTTACAATTATACCCTCACAATTCATCCAATTAGCTCCCCAACTTATCAATCTCTCTCTCTCTCTCTCTCTGTCTCTAGATTTGGGTATGGCCAGAGCGCTTGAAGACCATGCACCTTCTTAAACTCAACAGCAATTTCACCACAAATACCAGCCTTACAAGAGTAAGAGCCGTTCCTCGCTACAGCCTCACCCATGAAACCCTCTCATCCCTCAACACCTTCCATCCCACCATCGGAATCTTACCTTCAGGACTACCATGGCGCTCTAAATTCCTCGAAAAAACTCCTGCAGCGGTGGCTGCGGCTACGAATCTAAATGATAAGACACCTCTCACAAAACTACATCAATATGCCTTTTCTGTTCAATATTCTGATCACTCCTGCTTCAGTGAAATACAAGAGTTTATCAGAACTTTTCGCCCCTCGAAAGCTGCTGGATTGGTTTCTTCTTCCTCTTACTGCATCAATCCTCGATACTATTTTAGTCATCTTTATGAAAATCATCATATTAGAGATGTTTCATGCAAGGATTTTAGGAGTAAATTAGATAGAAAATTTGAATATGAGCAAAGAGATAATTTCGTTTGTAAGAGAGAGAAATTAAGTAGTCTGGGAGGAAGAGTGGGTGCTATCAGGAAAGGAAAGCTTGGTGCTAAAATAGCTGAGGGCGAGGAATCTGAACATCTGATTCTTTGATTTGCGTCGTAACATCTTAATCGACATTCGAATTTATGGTATTCAGTATCTTTTAGAATATTTTTTTTTTAATTTTATGAGTGTTTAATTTGTAAATATCAATGTTTCGAGTGATTTCTATGTAATCATTCTTTTTTTTTTCTTTATTATTAGGAGCATTTTACATGCATATTACTAAATTCCTATGTAGGTACTAACACATAAATTCTATTTTTACATTTATACCACCCAAATTTTTATATCATGTCATAAATATCACTCTTTTTAACTTGGAAAAGCGAAATTCATCTTTTCATGTAATAGGAAAAATGTTATATATATGTAAAAATTAAAATTTAAGTGTTAGATATGTAAATGCATGGGAATCTTCCTATGGACATTTACATACATTACAGAAAATTCTTGTCTATTTACATATCTCACACCTAAAGTTTTATATTTACCCAAATAACACCCAAATATTAATATCACATAAAAAATAGCATAATCATCACTTTTAAAATGTAAAAAATACACATTTTCTTGCAATGGTAAGCACAAGACTATCACGTATGTAAATATGAAAGTTTGGGTGTAAGATATGTAAATAAATAAGAATTGTGTTAGGTATATAAATTTCCTAAATATGTTTTTGATTTTAAAATGTAATAATAGTATTATTTTTTCATATAAATATTTATTTATTTACATATCTCATGCCTAAATTTTCATATTTACATACATGACAATTTGATATTTTAAAAATATGCATGAAAAGATATAGAGGCATTAAATATAGAGCGAACATTAATTGGTGGTATTCAGGTGATATTCACTCTAATATCTTCCAAAATACAAATAATTGCATTTATCTTCTCTGAACGTAATATTTTTTTTCATAAATATGAAAGTTTGGGCGTCAGATATGTAAATACATAAGAATTATGTGCTAGGTAGGTAAAATTTCTAAACATGTATTCTATTTTAAAAAATAATGATAATGGTATTATTTTTTTGATTTGATATTAGGGATTTGAGTACCCACCATCTTCGATTTCCTCCGCCTCCTCAGTGGAAGAATCAGAATCGGGCGGCGGAGAAATCCCCGACGGCACCACCTGATTCTCACCTTCGTCTTCCTCGAAGTCTTCGCACTGCTCGCAAACTGTGAAGGAATAGGAAAGCCGAGCACCCGTCGATCTCCATGGAGTCGGAGCTTGGCAGCTCCAGCATAGAAGGTTGCGCGAGTGCAGCGCGACCAAGAAATTGGCTTCGTGAACCCTAGCGTCGCATTCCCAGCACAAGATCGCCTGATCCGATTCGCAGCGAAGAGCTGCTGGGAGCATACAGAGCTCGCATTCTTTCATGGCCTTCTATTAGGGCGAACACGATACTGTCCGTCGGGAAGATGGGGAAGAAGAGGGAGAAGCTCGCGGCTATTTATATTAGAGGTATTTCCCTACCTA